TATAATATAATAGATAGATAGATAGATAGATATTTGTCGAGGAGGCTCCTTTTTCAGCTGGTGATCATACTTCTTGTGAAGGTGATGTGCAGCCTCTGCGAGCTACTGCTAAGTGAAGTGGAAGTGCCTTCGCATGCTTCTGGATCCCTGACTGAAAAAATAACAGAAGCAGAGCAAACCATGGCTCTGACTCGCACCAGTGGAAATAACCAAACGCCTGTCGCGGTCGCTGTGCCTGCAACGCAGCCACTCTCTCAAAACCGAAAGGATTTATTGGCAAAGGAAATTCCGCCGGCCACATCTCTCGCCGACTTCATCGTGCGAGAAACGCTGAAAGCTCGCTAACACCTCGCAGCGAATCCACTCTGCCTCGAGATACTCAGCGACACCTCCGGGGTGTCGAAGCGAATGGCATGCCCCATACTCTAAAAGCACGGTCACGCTGCTCGCGCTTCGAACCATCTCTGGAGACTTTGGGAAGGCTGCTAAACTTCCTCTACACCCATAAAATTGGCATTACGATGTCAAAGGTGACCACTGTTGTGAGACAAAGACCGGCTCACGCCGGGATCGTCGCATGGTTGGGCCTACTTCTCATCCTCTTGGGAATAGCCACCTGGACTCACAAAACCCTGGCCGGGCCCAAAAAAATCAACTTCAGAGCCACGTCAGCAGAGAGAGAGAGAGAGAGAGAGAGAGAGAGAGCATTCTTTTCGGGTGCCGGCCCAGTGGTGGCAGCTGGAGCTCCGAAAGGATGTCGTTGATCCTCTCTTTAAAGGGCCCATGAATGAATTACTCTCTCCATCATCCCCTAAATGTCTCTTACTTCTTCTTCGGTGGCACTGAGACCGGGTCCTCTTCGCCGCCTCGGGTTCGATCTCGACATCCTCCAGCAGCTTGATCATCTTGTCGACCCCTCGGCACTTTGACAGTGGGGGAGTGCTCAAATAAAGCAACAGATCTCGGATGCTCCCCGCACCTACGTCCTTGAAGCGATCAACCTGCTAGGAATTGCAGCAGTCTCCACGCAAAAAAAAGCTGCTGCGAGAAAATCTTGAACCGGCCTTGCTCTGCAACTCATGCTTTGTGACAGCCGTGTTCCGCAGAACAACCATGCGCCGCCTGTGAAGGTGAATCTCCATCGACCCAGGCTGGCCATGACTGTGCGGATCCAAACTGCCAAACTTGGCTGTGATCTCCGGCAACTCTTCTTCGTTCGGGCTCGCTGCTTTCCGAGGCACCGATCGGCATCCGCCTTGCTGTCCTCCAGGACCTGCGAGCAAGACTGTGTCGGTAGGCTGCTGCTTTCGTCTGGACACAACGCTACAATGCCACCTTGCGTGATGGCTATCGTACGCACTGCCTGAACCCTATGACCTCGCATCTGCTCCCGTAGTGCTAACGTTGTGTCATGTAGTTTCCTGGATTCTGTGCGTGTATTGCAATCAGCAATCTTGATAATCTTGGCATCCGAGCTGAATGCGAAAGGGGGCCGGGGGCCGGCCTGTGCCCTCTGTCGGATCGCGAGGAGCTTCTCGATCTGCTGGTCCACGGCATAGGCATTCGCCTCGGAGCGGAGCGGAGCGGAGCGGAGCATCCGCCTTTCCGCCCTTCCCCTTCCCCCAAAACAGAGAGCTTCCCAGCTTCCACCCCGGAGGCCCCGGGCGCGCCGCAGGCGCTCCCGGTTTTCGGCCGCCAGCGCGGCCTCCAACAGGTCTGAAAGACACGCGCGCCGCCGACGCAGGTCTCTTTTCTGACGCGCTTCTTGAAAAAAAGAACAGCGGAAGCTGCAGGAGCCCAGCAACTGCAGGGCAAGGGCAACGGAGCCAGGGGGCTTTTCCCTGGCCCCCTGGGCTGCCCCGCGAAATGCTCTGCATCCTCACGGGCTCGGAGGAGTTCCGGCCGTTCCTTTCGCCGAAGCCTGGGGGAGATCTCAGCAAAACGGCGGCCCCTCGTCTTCTTTTTTGGCTTGGAGTCCCGAGTCCCGCGACGTCTCCGAGGCCGAGCGCTGCAGGCTCCTGTATTTTGTACCCACTCAAATCCTATAAGAAGGGTATCTGCAGTCATCTGCGCAAAGAGAAGGGAGGTCTTTCTCCCCGGGCCTGGACTCCCAGTTTCTTCTGAATTCTTCATGTTCCTTCTCCTTCTCGACTAGCAGCCTCTCATACCTTCGACAACAGTGTGATGCTTCTGCAAACCTCTGTCCTTGCTCCCTGCCTGGAGACAAAAGCCTGCCGCTTCTTGCTATTCGCTGTCTGCGTGGACGCAATGCGCCAAAAGAGCTTGCACTCTGCACACACACAACTCTCGAGCCTTGAACTCTTTCAATCTCTCCTTCAGCCGATCGTTTCTGAAGTCTTCTGCCTGACGGCTATATGGAGGGTATGTGTCTCAAGAGACAGTCTGCTGATGTCTGCTGCCTTGCTATGCCGTTCGAGGGCTTCGCCATACTTCTTTTCGTTCTCTGCCTGGGTCACTAGGTGCACCAGCAGCAAAGACAGTCACGGAATGCCGGGTACGGCGGTACTTGAATCCGGACAGGGGAACAGCGGATGCCTGCTGCGTTGCGAGGTACTCGGCCACCTGAGCGAAACTGTTCAAATCGCATCTGTTTATAACTGAGGGCCCTTTGCTTAAGCCCCGACTCGTTGCCGACACTGCATCTCCTTGTGGAGCATTGCCTCCTTGTTGGAGACCCTGAAACGGTACATCGCTTGCGCAGTAAAACAGAGCTCAGCCAGAAAGAAACACTGCCACAGCCTCTGGCCCAACAGCTCTTCAAGCCTGAGCTCAAGTCACGACGCTGGAATAGGAGACAGTCAAGGCTCAAGGCCCCCAGGCTGTAGGGAGCGTACAACTGGCGTTTCCTCAAGTGCTTCTCCTCTATTTCGTCGTGCATGTCCTCATCGGTCTCTAACATCGTCAAGAACTCACACGTACTGATGTGCTGGCAGGTGCTCCTCACGCTTGCGCAGCAACATGTCTTCGAACGCGGCCTGTGTTGCTGCACGCCACATGCCACGCCAACAACAGAGCAATGTCCCGACAGCGACAAAGCGTCACCTTCTGTTTCCGGGCTTCGATGCCCTTCACCTAGGATGTCAGCGTCCGATAAAGGAAAGCACAGTCCAACAGGAGCCTGCTGAAACAAGGCACCTGTTTGGACTCGATGGAATCGTCATGTGCCTGCCGGATGTCGGCAAGGCATTTTGCCACTCGATCATCAGCCTCACGCGGACCGACTGCAGAAGGCAAACCATGGAACAGCGCAGCTGTCCCTCGATTTGCCTCTTTCAGCTCTTGCCGAAGCTCTTCGCAATGTGCTTGCAGTTGCCGGTCGGCACGGTCCCGAGCCTGCGAAAGACTCGAGCAACTCTGGCGGAACTCGAAGCTCGGGACTGGACCTCCTTGGACTTTTCCCTTCTCTTCTCCGCCTGTACATTCTGCAGTCTTTTCGTGCGTCAAAGATCCGAGAGCATGCAAGGGCCACTGAGCCACTGCCAGCCTCCTTCTTCATTGCTCTGAGCTTATCATCCCTCTCCTTCTTCAGCTCTTTCATGCGCTTCACATTTTCCTTCCCAGTGCAGAAGATGCTCACCCTCCGGAAAGAAAGGGACTGCCTCGCGCACTTCCTCCAGCTAATCACACTCTCTGTGTGTCTGTGTGTGTGTGTATGTATGTGTATGTATGTGTATGTATGTGTATGTATGTGTATGTACGTGTGTGTGCGTGTGTGTGCGTGTGTGTGCGTGTGTGTGC